ACAATTATTGAACAATTGTTAAAGAGCAGTTACTGTACTTTATACACCAACGAACCTTTATTGGATATGCAGGCAAAGGAGCCAAGAAATTGCTTGGGTATGGATAATTCACCATTGCCAAATTTACAAGAACATCTGATAACCAAGCTTTCAGAGCAAGACCATCTTCTGTCTTATTTAGAGGTTTACATAATTTCCAGTTTTTATTGAGCCATAATCGACCACTTTCTGGAAATAAAAGATGTTTTGGCACAAAACATTAGAAGTGCAATAAACTTTATCATGTAAATTTTATTACACAAGCACTCAAAACTCACCTGAACCTGCAAAAGAATCAATTGTCTTCCAAGATTTCTGGATTGATTTCATACATTCATGTGATGTGGAATTGAAATCTGAAGTTACTATCATGTTAAAAATTCCACAAGGCACTAGTCCCGGAAATTGGAAGATTGGGGCTGATGCAGCAATAGCCCTGATGAAAAAATATGAGGCTTTCAAATTAATTGTTTTCCACAGGTTGTAATATAAGGTTACAAGCAAGTAACATAATTGATACCTTGTTTGACCAAGCAATTACAAAACTGAAGGGTGACATACATCATCTAATGAGATACCAGAAAATACTTCCATTGCATTTAATTGCTCTTGTTATCCTAACTTTTGACACCTATTGTTTTGGGGACTCTGCTGTTCACCGCTTGTCAGACACCAAATGCTTTTGGAAAATGTTCTTGAACAATTGGGAATAGGCCTACTGTTCAAAATAGGGGATGGAAAAGGAAGAAGCACATGTGTTTGGCTTGTCTAAGGTACTACTCTTGGTATCTGCCTTGAATTGATTAGAAGAAAAAACAGTTATAATTTATTAAAGTAGCTGACCTCTGGAATTCTCATTCAGGTTTCAATACAGCTATTTAACTGGCATAAAAAAAAAAACAACACTAAAGAAAATTCTTCTGTACTCTACCACATGCAATAAATGAATTCTAATGCATATTTTCTAAACAAATTAATCAGAAAGATCTAGTACGTAATACAGAAAGGTGAACATTTATATGAATTATAAAAAATAGAATTTATGTTCTCCGATTGATCTCTGTGAACTCAAGGTCCACAAGTTTGAAACATCTTGATTTTTAGGGGTACTTTACATGAAACCTCCCATTTTCACCACACACTACAGAAAACTTTAAAATTTTCTCCAAATAGCTCATAATTTTTTTATCAAACTTTTTCTTTGATAGCACAGAGAATGCTTAGTCATGACATGTCTCCTTTTAGAAAATGAAAAGTTACAACAGTTGAAAAATGTTTTGGACATTTCCCTACAACTACAATATTGAGCACAAGCGATTTTTTTCCTGGAATGAAATTATTTTTCAAAGATCAATCTTGAAATAAGGTCATCTAAAATTTTTTGAAAATAGTTCTTATGTATTTTTTGCATGAAATATAGACTATTTTTAAACAATTATTTTCTTATTAAATTTTCTTCTTAGATATAGCATGAAATGCTTAAAAATGACATGAACTATTTTTGAAAATTGCAAAAACTCGTACATTTCAAAAGTACAATACTGAACAGATTTTTTGTTGTTTTCTAATCAAAAAAATTAATCTTAGATCTAAGTCATAAAATTTTTTAAAAAATTGAGTAGTTTTCTTGGAATTTTTGCTTGGAGTAAGGACAATTTACAAAAAATTTGAATGCGCTTCAAATATTTCTTACAATTTTTCCTCAAGTAGAGCAAAGGATGCTTAACAACTGAAGCAGGT